CATAAATTCTTCACTCTTCCAACTCCAATGTGACTTGTTGCACAAACATAAGAAGGATCTTACATAACTTTTAGTTTTTTGCCATAATTAAAATTTTAAACAGTTATTTAGCTTGTGAAATAGTGGATGTCTTTGCTTATTAATTTTGCACTCATGCTGCCAAAAAAAGCATGTGATCCAAAATTTTCAAATGTCCTTAACACATTGCAGAACATGATTTACTCACCATAAATTCTTCACTCTTCCAACTCCAATGTGACTTGTTGCACAAACATAAGAAGGATCTTACATAACTTTTAGTTTTTTGCCATTTTTAAAATTTTAATTGGAAAATTTGACCTATTCCAATAGAAAAGTTTCTATATAATCAATATAGCAAAGTTAAGTATTCTACCTGTATATGAGTCCTAGTATTTTCACTTTCTGAAACTGAATTCTGTATAACAGTCAATTTATATTCCACTGTTCCAGCTAAAGATACAGCTGTATAGAAACTAAAGAGAATGTCCAAATATGAATACATTTTAACAAATATTCAGATAGTAATTTTGAATTTGATTATTTGAAGTTTTTTAATGTTGTATTTTCCACATGTTATGAACAGCCTGGACATCAATTCTTGGATGCAAAACATGAGCACATTTTACCAAATACAAACTACGAATACATATTTTCATGTTTCCTTAACATTAAATGTCATCTTAATTAACAAAGTCAATTTAAGTTCAGTATTCACTGTATTACGTAATGCTTATGATGCTGTGCACAGTGAATAATATTAGTTTGTTTTCTCCCAGAATTCATTGCACTTCCCCCAATATATTGATCACGTGAAACATAATGAATTTTAGGAGATTGGAATCGGTTGGCAAACGTTTTGGGTAAGACAACTGAGATCACATGACAGATGCAAAGAAGTGGGATGTAATAAATAATAGAACTTTCCATTATGCCTCAAATCTATGAATGAAGAAACTAACATTGATAAATATAAATAAATACATGTGGTCCAACAATCGCTTAACTTGATCCAATATAGTGTTATGACTAATGTTGAGACTGATGTTTTGAATGCATATACTCACAAAATTGTGATAATATACAACATAAATATAAAAGAAATATCAGTTGTACTGTAATGAAATGTTTAGGGTTAACATTATTAAAGATTTTTGGTGAATAACATGAGAAGTACATGAACCACTAACATAAAACTAAACAATGAATTGTATATGTGTGTGTGCGTGCATATATATATATATATATGCACACACACATACATATACATACCATATTTGCCAGTGTATATGACAATACTTTTCACTCTTAAAACAATGCCTGATTTTCCCCTTCATCATTCAGAGATAGAGTTCTAGTAAGAACTTTCCAGTTAATAGCATATTTAATCAGAACTACATTGTTCCTGTTACTTTTGTTTGAGTAAGGGCATTGACATTTTACCACCTACTGCTTTATGATAACATAGTTGTAATTGTATCATTTATCTCACATGCTAGTTAAAATTAATCAAGACATTTGAAATGTATTGATCTCATCTGTCATACTAGGATATGGCTGATATTGTATCAAAAAGTTTCTGTAACATACACTAACTTTGTAAACATGTATTTATAGTAGATCACTATATCTTAAGGTTTAGTGTTTTTTTGTAATAGAAAAGTAGTTCAACTGTGATAAACTTTGTAAATTTGTGTATTACATGTTTGTGACTTAAGTTACGCTGCATTGAACCGTCTGTAGCATTTGAAGATCTTAAAAAAAACACTTGTGGTTGTATTGATCACCCTAGAGCACGGTTAGCACAGTTTAAAATTAACTAATGAGAATTTCTTTACAAAAAAAACATCCTAGACTTGCTTGACAATAGAGGTCACACTATACTCCAAAGAAATACACTTAATTTGCTCGAAATGTCCAGGGTCGTCTTATACACCAACAAATATGGTATGTTGAAGATTTCTTTTCCACGAGATGAAAGAAAATACATTTGAATCACTTTAAAATATTAAATTACAATGTTATTATTTGTTTAATCATCTTCCTTTAGAAAAGTATGAGATTTATATTAGGATAAAATATACAGTACAAAAATTAACAAATGAATAATTTTAACGCTAACAAAACATGAATTATTCAAGAGGAAAAACTAATATTCAGAACAAACAGAAAATCATTTGGTAATTCTAATTGGTTGTTTAATTCCCCGTTTAAAAATCAACTTGTGTTCAGTTCAGGGTTGCCAACTGTTTATAAATTTACAAACAGTCAGTAAGAAAAGACAGCATTTTAATACTGTCCATAAACCTGTAAGTAACAAAAATGTTTTATTTTAACAGTGTGGGTAAAAAATAGGCCACTTCTTCTGTCTGTATATCAGTAAAAACAAAATTGTAAAGTTGGAAACATGGCTTAGATCCTTCACTTTTGACTTTGACCTGTAGAAGCACTGTAAATAATTTAGTAATATCCGTGATGCTGAAATTTCAAGAGAGTAAAATCAAGATTTTCGGAGTTGATCTACTGTGGATGAGATACAAGTTATGCTTTGTATATTAAACTTGGTTTGTTGCATTTGGACTAACATATGTGATAAATAATTGAAATAAGAAAAAAATGTTTGATATTTATGTGATTGGTTTAACATGTCATATCAATCAAGTTGTACATCATCTGTATACAGTAACTTTCATATATATGTATTTATATATTTACACGATTAAATAACACTTTATTTTAGTGTTTTCAGTTCTTGAACTGTATTTTGTTTTACTCCTTATAATGGTATGATGGAAAATCTTGCTTTACTACAGATCTTTCTTACTTATCTATATTGATCCATCATTAGGATTTTAAATCAGAAATGTCTAGAAATAGTGTTTCAGATGTATTTTTTGTCTGCTACAAATCACTACCCGATTATAACTGATGTTGAGATTGACATGTAGAATATACACATACAAAAATTTGATAAAACTACATTATCATGATGTTCGTAAAAAAAAACTTGCTCGTCCGTAAATCAGTAAAAAACAAAATTGTAAGGTTGACAAACCTAGTTCAAGTCCTTCCTTAAAAGCTGGTGAAGCATTTAGAAGTCAGTAGGTCAACATTTGTGTTAATCGTGGTCAAATTAAGAGGAATGTGGGAAAAAAGAACACATTTAGTTTACATGATTTCTATTTTATTATTACCTCCAACAAATATCTACTTTAGCACGGTATTGATTTATAATCACATTACCAAAAAAACTGTACTGCAAAGGCTGGATGGCATGAGTCTAGTTGGATGACCAATATGCTAATTGTCTTAGCAACCAATATATAGCCACTTCCGTTTCTTGATACTTAGCTTGGATGCATCAATACGGCTCAAATGGGGATTACAAAATAGCATGGAACCAGCAAGTAAACAGTTATGTAGATCACAATTATAGTAACCTTTTATACTCGAAACCTTACAACATATATGACTGAAATGTATATATCATGGATGTATTGGTAAAAATCTGTGAACTTTCCTTATCAAATGTGTATCAGTAATTGTTTTTTATCACCTTAAGTTTTATTATAAAAACTGCAGCATAACACTAGCCAGTAATTCACGAGATTGCCAGCATTAATTTCAAACCCTGCTCTTATCAGTTCCAAAATAATGGAACAAATACTTGTATCATAGAATATTTCTGTCATTGCTTTGGTTTAATTTTAACATTATGCAGCAGTTGTAATTGTCTATACTGTTTCTTTATTTGGGCTTCTTCCTTCCAAAAAGAATTGAGTATTTAGGCTGTGGTTATCTTCTAACAGCACATTCTACTACAAATTCTCTTCCATTTTATTTTTTCTGCCTACTTTTGTACTTAACATGCTTATCACTAAACGTGTGTGTGTGTGGAGTAAAACGTAATATAAAATGAGTGTTCAATGATATTGTTTTGTTACTTCAATAATACTATCAACAAATGCTGAGTTCCACTCTTGAACAGTACAGTAAATCCTGGGTTCTCCACTTCAACAATACAATAAACAAATTCTGGGTTCTTTACTTCAACAATACAATAAATTTGTAGTTTAGTTCTTAGTATATAGTTTGATCTGATCACAAGCTAATATTAGATAGTAACATGTATTCACCCAGTGTATATGTCTAATTTTCCACCTAATATTTCCATTGCACACACAAAAATGACATAAACTTAAAAAAAGTGGTTTTATCAATATTAGTTGCTGGAGTTTGAGATAGTAATTTTCAAAATACCTTTGTTTGTTTTTTTATTGATTAAGATGCTAAGAATCAGTATGTATGAAGTCGTGCTTAGAAAAATAATAACAATTGAGAAAATGATGAGTTTCTTTTAGCAGAAAGCAGTTGAAATGTGTTTATTAAGGGTTTTAATTTATGTTAACCCAACATTCTTTTTTTCTCCCCTACTTTTCTTCATTATTAAGAAGAAAGAGAAATGTTATTGATGAGATTGTATTGCATCATTTTTGCAGATAAACAGCTTCCTTCAGGAATCATGAAATGTGATTTTTGAGGGTTTTAAGTAACAGACCTGATTTTATTTTCTTCTTTCTAGAAGTATTTATTTTTTTCTTCAGTAAAAAAGTAAAGAAAAAGGTTGGTGATGAGACTTTATTGTCTTATTCTTGCAGGTGAACCTGCAGTAGGAAGAGTAAGAGGAGAAAGATCTGTCATAAGAGAGAATATCCAAAAGTCGGGACATATAGATAGTGATTGGCCAATGGCACCTGATTTACAGCTTGACTGTTTGTCGTCGGATGATGATGATGATAATGATAGTGTGGAAGTAGTTAGTATTGAATCTCCTAGGTATGTACTTGTAGTAATGTCAAGCTGCAGATCGTAATTACCTACTTTAACTTAAGAGGCAATTCGGAATGAAAATAGTATGCATAGTAAAAAAAAATTCAAAGCAAAAAATCCCAATTTTATTCCAAGTAAATAGAAACTTGCAACTATATTACATAAAGACCTTTGATAAAACTTAGTCACCCAATAGCCCAAACTCTTTTCGAAGGCAGTAGGTCTACCTTCTGAAGTTGCTTTCGTTATCGATTTTTTTGTTTTATGATTTATCTGTTTTTATGCTTCAAAGATTCTTCTCATTGGATGTTGGTTCATCTTTAACACCAAAATTATGTGTACTTAAAATAAATCATAATCATGATTTGTTAAAATGATAGTGGAGTACTATTACTCATGTAAATAAAGTGCAGTTTCTTAACTTGAATTAATTATGACATTCTTGATTTAATATAAAAGTAAAATGTAACAGGTAAAATCCAACATGGTTTTTATATTTTCAAGTTTAGTTTGTAATTTGCTAAGATGTTTTTTGTTTTTACGGTGTTTACATTTTTGTTTTGTAGATTCGTAGTGGTTGACACCTTGCTGCATCTTTTTAGGAATCAAAAAAGTTTGATGGAAAAAGTTATGGTATAAATAAATATCTTTTGTCAGTACGGTTTATTTGAATGAAATGTTTAGATACGTAACACAAATATTATTTTAAGAAGCTAAGAAAATGTAAATATAAGTTTTTGTAAAATATAAAGTGAAGTGACCTGTCACATGTGACTCAAAATTTCCAAATGTCCTTTACAGATTGCAGGGCATGCATCACTTACTCGTAATTCTCCGCTCCTCTATTTACCATGTGGCTTATTATCAGAAGTCCGAACCTTACATAAACTCTGCTTTTCCTACATAATTTGGATTTTCTTATTGATAATCATTCTGCTAACTTTTCTACAATGAATTTGTAATTCAACATATATTCTGGTGCAACTATTTCCACCATTATCAGAAATTCTATAACTTATCTGGAAGCCTTACTAATACCTGTAGCATGCAGCGTGACCATAAAATTGCATTGTCGGCCCTTATTGTTTAACGTATTTGTGCTGTTGTATGCTGATGCGTTCTTGCTAAGTTTCACCATGTGGATGTTCAACTCGCATAACACTTGTCATTTTTATCTTATTTTTGAACAAGTTTTATCTTTTCCTTGGGGCCCCCTGATGGGACAGCAGTAAGTCTACAGACATACAAAGCTCAAATATGGGTTTTGATTCCCTGCGATGGACACAACAGATAGCTCAATGTGACTTTGTAATAAAACAAGCAAGCAAACGAATATTTCCTCAGTCCTAAAGTTTTCTTCAATTTTACCTTCATCACGTTGCTGTTTCATCAGCTTCTGGATTCTGTTTGCTGGTGGTGGTTATTCTCCAGCTCCATGGAATTCATAACAGGTGAGTTCTTGTCTATTCTGCTCATACCCATTGTTAATCATTCCCAGGGGGTTCTGAGTGTTATGCCTGATTTTGAAAAAGAAAAAAAAATCGAATATGACACAATAAATTAAATAAATGCAGTTTTGTTCTTTATGTGGATTTATCTAGTCTGAGCTCTCGTATTTTCTTTGCTCTCTGTATTTGTCCTAGACACAACAGCATCCTCTGCACTAGGGCTTTAGGAGAGGGTGTTGCCCTCTGGAAGTGGACAGAAGGTATTATTTAGTGGCTGGTAGTGCCTTGGTGAGTAAGTACCTTTCCTACCTCCATGTGCATATGCCTCTTCATGACATTAAGGATATCTGAAACGAGACACCGATTATCCATAGATGTCTTGGCTTTAACCAGGATAGAGGATCATCTGTGTTCATATTCTTATTACTGTTGTCTTTTTCTACATTCTCATTATTCTGTTGAGCTCATTCATGAGTGTGCTTGTGTCTTTATTTGTTTCTCATGATCACCAACTAAACTGGCCTGTTTCATGACTCACTGGAATTTTTATATCTGGGTGAAGAGGGGTTACAGTCCATGGAGTATGTCTACTCATATCGTGTGAGTGGGCTGCTCCCCCAAGAATCTTCCACTACGGGATCAGGACATAATATTTCTCCTAATTCATTTTACAACCACCAGTGTCCATTTGTTGGCTCCACAAGTTCAGTATCCCATTACTGATCTCACTGACCTGTTTTCCTGGGGTAAAAGATGTCAGAAGTAAAGAGGTACCCTGATGAGAAGAATCCCTTATTAATAAGTGGCTTTTAGTGTCAGAAGTGAAGAGATACCCGGATTAAAAGAATGTCTTATTTCTAAGTGGCTTTTAGTGTCAGTAGTGAAGAGGTATCCTGATGAAAAGAATGCCTTATTTCTAAGTGGCTTTTAGTGTCAGAAGTGAAGACATACCCTGATGAAAAGAATGCCTTATTTCTAAGTGGCTTTTAGTGTCAGAAGTGAAGACATACCCTGATGAAAAGAATGCCTTATTTCTAAGTGGCTTTTAGATCCAGTCTTTTTATAAGGCTGGTATGCTCCACCAATTTTGCCTCAGATCCAGCTCTTTGAATATTTTTCTTGTTCTGGATTCTACTCAAACTGTGCTTCACTACGTCTTTATTGTATTTAGGTTAGTATCTATCTGCCTTGTAACTTTAGATTTATAGGTTCTCCTGTGTCACCCTCTATTGTTCCCACCTCCTGTTCAATGTGGATATTCTAGTTTTCACTATTTCAAGTCCCCCTTTGATGGGACTGTGGTAAGTTTATGAACTGGCAATATTAAAATCCAGTGTTTGATTCCCCAGGGTGGACACAGCAGATAGCCCAATGTGGCTTTGCTATAACACAAACAAAAGTATTTCATAGGTAATATGACCTGACATTAAAATGAATTTCAAACAGGTAAATACACATTCCCATCAACCTCCTCACGACCAGGTTTTCATCATGAAAATAACATTCAGTAACTTTAAATTACACGAAGGATTCGGTTTAATATGGTTTTGCTTTAAAAAAAAATCTTTATCTCACATTATTTAGCAAGTCATAATGTTGCATCTTTGTTTTTTTAAGAAACTTAAATTTGTATTATCTATTGTATATACTCCTATTATAAATTCCAAAAACTTGTGAATGAAAACAAAGAATAATATGACAACCACACTACATCTGCTACATCAGTGCCAATGAGACCTTCACCCTATACTTTGGCTCATCAAGTCAGATGGGATACGACATTTATAACAGTTGTCTAGACAGTTTTAAATCATCAGTTTCATGAGCAACAACTGTTATGATAAGAACTAGATTAAGTAAGTAAATTGTGATTATTATCAGTTCTATTTAAATAACTTAATAGTGCATCTTTTTGAAAGCAAAACTTGTCCAGATGGGTCACAGATGAAAGGGCATGTCATCTCGTTTGTTCACTCGCAAATTAAAAATTGTATTGAACTACTATTTCATGAATTTATGTCAATAAGTTTGGTATCAAACTGTAGATTATATTTCAAATTTTAGTATTGTATGTTACCCAATTTGTTAATTTGAAAGTAAATATAAAAAAAAAACAAAAACATGTGGTATGTTGAATGCAGCACTGGTTCAAATTAGACATTTGTGATGTCAAAGTACTA